GTAATATGCACACAGTCGTTTAACGCTTTCAGAGTTGTATATTATTATATCAACAATGATTCCAGAAAAAAGGAATGTTATCTTAATCTTCCACTGGTCACCACATTTATTATTATTAAATTCTTAGAATATCACAGTAGACAGTGAGTAAGAAATTGAGCTCCTAACTCTCCACTACATTTATCTTTTATGTCATCATTTATCAATGTCGGCCTTGTTGTATCACCAGACATTTCTATCATCATTATCAATAATTCCACTACCTTATCACTATTTGGAAAAAATATATGTTATTACAACAAGTGAAAAGAATTGATTTCTTCAATTTCAACACTTATTAAAATCAATGTTAGCAGCAAAACCGCATCCGATAAAATATCGTAATTTATATAATTGTTGATAAAGCTTTTTGAAGTGTCACAACGATAAACCCAACAAATAATTCGAAAAGCACAAAAGCATATATTTTTAATAAAGTTTGCGGTTATTACTATTAGTACTAAGGTATCTTTTTATTTGCAGTGAAATGATTATATATTTACATGAATATATCTACTCATACATACCGTACAAATATACATTCAAACTAACACAGTCATCAACAGTGCCTGTGCAAAACTGATAATTCATCTCATTTCCTTTCTCTTCAACATATAGAAATATTGAGAAATGAAAGCAGTAAATAATCAAGTGATTAATTTTTGATTGATTACCTCTACAGGTGATTTATTTGATGGCTTAACTTTCCCTCTAAAAATAACTGATCCCGAAAGCTATCTGCACATTTTTTACGATTTTGTTAGAACTTAAAATTACATCTTGATAATATCTACTTACTATTAATATTTGGAATGAGATAACCTATCCTCAAAGTCAAAACACCTTGAACTTTCCAATCCCTTTAGTTCCATGATTCAGTCTCCACTAAAAATGAATCAAATATCAAAATCGACTTTGATTTGAAACATTCAGAAAAAAAAAAAACCAATACTTTTACTGTAAATAATGGAAAAAAACGAACATAGCAATAAAATAATCGAAAAAATTTAAGCCAAATTAGCCATCCTTAGATACTACATTCATAAAGATAGGCTACCTACTCTAAGACCTCTCTCTCAGAAGACCTCTCTTCCAGCTTCAGAACTCTGTCCTCAAATTCGAAACAAACTGATGTAAACAAAGATGATGACAGACAACAAATTTAGTATCTCCTGAATTAACCAACCACATATGGTCAAGTACTACTGATAATGCAAGTTCAAAACAGACAGGCACAAACCTACCTTGAACGATATTTTGAGACCAATTTAGCACTCTTCTTCTTTTGTTTTGTAATCTCTCAACTTTGTATAAAATCCTTCCGCTAGCCAATTCTCCTTTTAAGCCAAGTAGAAAATCGTAAGAATCTCCCAATGACAATTGATGAAGAGTTAAAGTCAAATGATATAGCAGCTGCTTTCCGCTCCAAGGAACCGGATTACACAAGCACGAATTTATCAGTATCCCAAATAGAAAACGAGATCAGTTTTGCATATTAGAAGGAAATGGGCAAAATAGTTGTAGTAGTATGGGAGGGGCCGCGTTGATTGTTCGCCATTATTAGAGCTGTCTGCAACAGAGAAAAGGATAAAAGTCTGAAATTTCCAAAATAACCTTGTCAAGTCCGAGAGCGACGAAAAGCGTATGGCAACGTAACGTGACTACCATGGAATTTAACAGACTTCTACAGATCACATGAATCTGTACCACATTTAGTTTTTACTCACTATTGCAATTCCTATTTAAATTACAAAAGACTAGTGTAAATGCTAACACAGCATTTATAAAACCAGTTTCCAATCTGTGATCTGTGATTCGTTTTTGAAATATAAATCCAAGAAATCCAACGCGGATGCATCAAAAACTAACTGAAGTATTCTATAAAAGATGAAAGTCGAATGATACAAATACATGATAAGGATGGACTATTCACACATGTAAAATGGAAGAAACTTTGATCACTGAAATCACCGAAATTTCTGCAAAAGGCTTTTGATGAAACATTGAGAATTAACTGAACAGTTCACGGAATACTATCAACTCTCCGGATATTTTGTTATTGCATGAAATGATCATACTGAAGATCGTCATGAAATTTTCACTAATTCCTGAGAAAACATGTTCTCAATCTACCCGAAACTTATGACATGCGCAACGGCACTCTGTTTCCACTACCCTTCTTTAACGGTAAATCCAGAATTTGCAGAAATAAACAGAGCAGGATTCCGGAATAGCTGATATTATCATTGTCTGAAAAATGCAACAAATTATTGGCACTTATTTAGTGTTGAAACATTTTTTCGCCAAGATTTATTTTTCCGTAAAATGAGCTTTCAAAAGCAAAAATTTGAATTAAGGGTGATGACGAACAGTCTAATTATCCGGTAGTCTCTTAATTATATTTAGGATTCCTTTAACAGTTCTACATCAACAACAAACAAAAATTTAATCTCAAATCAATCTCAGGTAATTAATAAAATAAGTCGATATCCCTATACTTGTCAATACTGGTAAGCAGTACAGTACTGCACTGTGAGACGAAATTTACTTACGTGGTATTTAGTAACTTCATGCAGGCGACCGTCCTCTGCAGCATGGGAACATAAAGATATCTAGACACCTAGGTGGAAATGTAACAGTAATAAAAATGGCAATGAAGGAAATTAAGTTACGCTCGAAGTTAGTGTATTAGCAATGGGACGTGCAAAAATAGGCAGAAAGTATTTCGTATTTTATTCTTTACACTGAAATCAATTTAAATTAAAAGAAAGAGGGTACACGCACTGGCATCAAAATACTGAAGTACAGGATGCATGAAATGTATGCTCACAAACAAAGAATGAACATATCATCCTCAATGGACATCGATATCTTCTGCGTATACTTTCCAGGAGTATCGACAGGATAGATAACAACGGATTGCTCCTGAAACTGATGGTTTCTACTCATCAGTTTCTTGAAAAAAAAATATAGTTATTTTCAAGCTGATCATATCAAAAAACAAAGATGTAACTGTCACTACTCACTCCTAAATCCAGACTAAATTTGTGGTTGACATTGATGATTTATAAATCTCACAGGCGCTTGCGCAATTTCTCTTCATCATAATCGCAATCATCAAGATGATTTACTATGATTAAGGATATTTCTCGCCAGCAATAATTACTGCTTCCTTTTCAGTTATTCTTCTCCGAGATTATTCTCGCAAGAAAAAGACAGGACAGGAAATGCCGAAAAAGAGAAAAAAAGAATTTGCCACACTTAGACAAACGGCTCATCTCTCGTCATATGCGCAGCATTTCATGCCTCCCTGCTCTTCTGTACTTGCCTACTCGCCCCACATCACATCAAGTACTCTCAATGGTAAACAAATGCATTTCTGAAATACTTACTGCTGCTTCCACTCGCACATGATATTCTCCGATGAGAGCCACCACGCCACCATCACCACCACCACATTTACCATGTCAATATGATGTGCTATCCTGCTGCTGCTCAGTGGTACTTGCTATATTCATTGCATCCATCCTGTACATGCCAGGTTGATCAGGATCACTACTCTGTGAATCCTTCCTCACAACAACACACTTCAGACCGGGAGAGTGGTACTGCTTACGCATTATTAACATTAGACAAGACGCAAATGTCTGCGACGAGATGAATATCAATGTGTCAAATATTCGGCATAATTTTAACTAAAGCTGTAAACAAACAAGTGCACCTAAGCAGAAACCAGCTTTAGTGAAACGACATCATGTTATTTGACTAGTGAGAGTGATGACAACAAACATAAGAAAAAGTTACAGAACCAAGTGTTAACCATCCAAATGGAAGAGAGTGTAAAGGGGATAAATTAGGAGAAATAAACAATATAAAGGATAAGGAATATATATATATATATGTTGGTTTGTTCCAAGGTCCATTCAGTCAATAAAAAGCATCTTCATTGTCTGACTCATCAACTTACCAAATACGCTAGGATCAGAATAAATGATGGAAATGCAAACTATGTACTGCGAGGACATATAGGAATGTGACTGAATGGAAAGGTAAGTAAAAAAGAAAATTACGGATGTTGAAAAGTGCTCTTTTGAAACGCTTGTCTCAAACGTTAAACGTTTTCATAGCAGACGTTTGGTGAGTACTTGGATATCATACAAAGTTATACTTCCAATGGAATACGTCATGTATTACCTTTCAGTCATCAACAAATACCATAATATATATATATAAACTCTAGAATACAGTATATATATATATATATATATATATACGTGAGTACAACGTATCACATTAACGTCAGAAGTGACAGAATCAGCTATCAGAATCCACTCCACTATTCAAGTGCGAATTCATACAAATCTATTTTTAGCGCCACTCCAGTGCAACAGAGAGAGCAGCAGGGTGACATGGCGGTAACGATGACATGGATGTGAATGAGTAGAGTAGAAGTGTAGTGGTTTTGCTCATCTGCTACGTTAACAGAAGTCATTTAGAGATAGATAAAATGAAATAAATCTATGAGGAAGGGAAGGAGGACTGAGGGAATAGATATGTCAAAAAGCTGGAAACTGCTCCCTAACTAAAGAGAATGAAGGAAAGGAGGGAAGGATGAACAGAAATGAGAAGGGACCAACAACCTCAGAACATAGGGAGTGTGTAAGGTTGGTACACCATCTCTCTTTCCATTTTTCGGAGAGGGGACAGTAACGAAACGGTCAGTCATCTCTATCGCCACCACCAGCAAAACAAAACTGTCGTAGCAGTAATGGTAGTAGTGGTGATGTGAAGTAGAGGTCTACTACCCTATCCCTCCACCAGCCCCACATCACCGCCACCACGACCACCACCACCACCAATACCAATGCCAACACCGGCACCAACAGAACCATCATAACAATCCTTTCTGTTCGCTAACATCCACTCAGCACTTCACAACACACCCACAATTGGTGGTACATATGATGAGGAAAGATGAATTGGATAGCGATCTGAACAGATCGATCAAGCGGGGTGAGGGAGGGAGCAAGGGGAAGAGAAAAGGGAAGAATGGGCCATCCTCGTCGATACGCTCTTCTACCGGTCCTCGTCGTTGTCACCGCCAACCGTTAAACTTATCTGTAACTGTTCGCACCATTTTCTGCTCTTCGTTTGCTTCTGCACAGCTTATGGCTATTTTTCGTCCACTGGCTATTAAAACATGTTATGTATGAGTGTGTTCTCGACATATGACTTCCAACAAATCACCACAAAGAAATTGCCTAAGCCAGCATATCAGATAATCGTCGTATCTCACTTTTATTTGATTTCAGCAAAAGTTTTGCAAGGAAAGCCTCAAAGAAATCCATTTTAAGATATTATAAATAAACACACTGTTGCAGAATGTTCTGCTCACAGGCAAAAAAGTCTTCAACGTCCACAAATAAGTATCGGAAATGTAAGCATCGGAAAATGATAAAGTGGCAAATCTCATCCGAACTCTGTTGAGTGATTTCATTTAATGAAGTCAAATTAGCGACTGAGAGATCGTCATTAGCTGACTCCTTCTGAAATGCGTTGCAACTTATGACCATTTTCTGAACCAGTTGAAGCACGGTACAACAGCAAGATTCTTATGCTTGCGTAGGCTTCTGGGAAAGGGATACCGATGGAAAGTCCTTGATCTATCCTAAAATCACGACCCTTGATCTGGTGACTCACTTTTCAGTTACTGCACTGCATACTTCGAAAACAGTCAAATGTTATCGTAGCAATAAATATAGAATTTATGAATAAATTCGAAAGACTAATATTATGTAAACAAGCAGATAGATGGCAAAATTTTAATTTCTTTAGAAAAATTATTAATAAAAAAAAGCATTAAATCATTTAAAACATGAGTAAATAGCAGCAATGATGATGACATTGATTTCACTGGTGACAATAACGATGACAATGATGGAAAGAAATAGTAGTGGAGCAGTAAGATACATTTCTCTTCACCTGATCTCCAGTGCACCTTTTCTTCTCCAGCATATTGTGCTACGATTTCTTCACTTCCACAAAGTGAGACAAAAAAGATGGAATAGAGAGAGCAGCTGAGAGGGGAACATCTACATATTGTCATATTGAATCGAAAATGAGGTATCACTTTTAATTTCATTTCACTCTTTTAAAATTAAATGTGCATCTAACTTTGTTATCACTGCTTTACTAAAAACATGGAGCAATAAGGAAGGAGACTTTTGATCAGTTCGACAGGTTTCTATAGTGATGGGAACTCAACACTCAAGTGGAAGAAATAGTTATGAAGATATTCTTTGTGTTACCTTTAAGACGTTCCGAAGTGAGACTGAGGATTTGTTCGGATAATGACTTAGCAACTGTAAATCTGAATGAATTGATCTTCAGGCTTGATTTGAATTTTGTCTGTTTCTGAGAAGTGATGGAAACATTTGGCGATAAATAATTATAACAGTGCTGATCACAATACTCAGTAATAAATATATCTATGATAATAATGGTGATGTGGAGAACAACAATGTGTCATTTAATAATAAAATAATCGTTATTTCATTCTTCAATTAAAGAAAAATAAGAAAAAAGAAATTTTCCTTTGCCTTCTCGAAATATATTATTTTCCAACGTGAAAGTTATTGAAAATTAATTTGGTAATTCGCGTCAAAATTTATCAGTCGCTTTTTGAGTTTATCTACTTCCTTCCAGTCATCATAACTTAAGACAGCTATGTTTTTCATTATGGTTCATCTCTTAGAACTACTGCTGACTGTGAAATCTATAATCATGATGATGAATGATAATAACGATAATGATATATAGTGGTAAGATAATGATAACTGCAATGCAGACAGAATATTATCAGTGATGACATCACCAGTGAAAAGACCCAAGCTGAAAAAGTGCAAGAAACGGAAAAAGAAAGCCAGGAGTATTGCAAATTCGGATAAAAGGAGAACAACAGGAAGGAATGAAATTTTCCGAGCAGCAGAAAAAAGTTATAAAGCAAGAGAGATAGTGGCAGAAAACGTGAAAAAGCAAAAAGCGGACGAGAATGAAAGCCTCAAAAAAAAGTGAAAGACTCCGAAATTTAACGAGCACAAAGTGCAATCAAATTACTGAAAATTGGCTTCCAAAGAGCGACCAACTTGAGAGGCATAGACTATGGGAGTGAAATGAAGTGAAGCGCAAGTCAACCGAAATATATCATCATGTCAGATACCTGAAACGGGATCAGGACAGGTACACCAGTGATTAAGTAGGAATAATGAGAGAATATGCAATGGATGAGAAAAACTGAACACAAAAGTACAGATTCAGTGTGTTCAGTCTCTCAAAGCAATTTTTTTTCAAATGTTATGAAAATACATTTTTGAGGAGACAGTCAAACGGAAACTAATTTCGTGAATAGTAATCCAAATGTCTGTCATTCACTACCAACGCATTATTTACATATACAAATACAACATAAATCATATGGCTGAAAAGAGATCAAGACAACCAATTGGTGAACACTTTGATCATTTGATTGATTGAGGTCGAAGTTCAGGATAAATAGGAAGAGAAATCATAATATAGCCGTATCAATGGTTTTTTTTTTTTGGTGATTTGAAAACAAGCTAATGGCTCACTAGTTTACAAAATTAGTAAGGTTTTCTTGGAGCAGTCAATTAAAATCTTCACTGTTGTCCTTGTCAGTGACAAATGTTTTTGAGTAAAAATAATGGCAAAAGGCAGGAATTATTAGCTATGAGAGAAGCGAGATCATCTGTATGATTATATAAACAATTTGAAAACATAACTATGTACGACTCAGACAGGAAGTCAAACATATTGCACCGGATTTTGCAGACTCCTACCAATGGTACATTAATGAAGTCTATAATGGATGGATGGATGGCAGCAGATTGGAGGATACGGGCGCTGATGACCACTTCAGCACGAACGAGAAGCATTCGTTACTACTACTACTATTACTATCAAGCATTGTTATTGAGTAGTGAAATGAGTCTTGGGCTTATAATATCTTGTCTTCTTTATGAATGATGGAAACCTTGTTGATAGAATCAGTAATTTACAGACGCTGATGAAGAGACGTGAATTGATAGTAGAGCAGTATCACGGATTACTAGTTTCACACGTGAATAAAGTGAAATTTAGATAAATGCTTTGTTTGAACTCCTTTCTGTAAAGAGTGCAATCACACTAAAAAATGTAAAAATGACCGTAAGTTTAAAAATTCAATTTCAAAATAAAGGTATTCGTTGTTCGAGAATTCTCAACTTCAATCCTCACATTTATTTCACACGTTTTCGAGTTTTTGCTTATCTGTTCTATTCTTGAAACATTTGCTGTGACAAGAATACTTATTTTTAATTAGATGTGTAGGAACAACAAAATGTGTACATCATCCCTAGACTATTCATACAGTCATTTCTCCTTATTATAATGGTTTGAGTTTCAGTTGAATATCGAAAAGAATTTATGAGAATACCAGTAACTTCTAAATCTTAGAAAAGTAACGAGTGAGTAAGTTGAAGTTAATGTGGTCTTATACACCAGTTTTATTGAGTGGATTTCAGAAGAGACTTCGTTTCTTCTGGAAGACAGCAATGAATTAAACTACAGCAGGTCGATCCGAAGCGATAAAACGAATTCACATAATTTAGAGTAGATAAAATCACGCAGACACTATTGTTCAATATCCGTTGAAATTTGTGCAGGATATATATCTTATGCTGATTCGGTTCGCTATTTGGCCATACAAAAATTTTTTTTTAGTGATAACACAAATCATGCTGAACCTAAAAAGTCGAAATTCAGAAATTTAAAAAAGGGAAAAAAAAACAAGAACTTGATGAATTTAAAAATATATAAAACATTGTGCAGAACAGTGTAATTGCATTACATGAATGTTACTGTAAGCAGATAATTTTATTGGAACGAAAATGAAAAATAGTGTGAAGAAGTATTTCTAATGGCGTTGAGCAATTATATGTTTTCTTGTAGTGAAAAATTAGAGACAAAACATTCACACAATGATTTATTTCCTCCATCAGAATTTAAGAAGTTTCTAAAGGCTAATGAAGAGGAAGTAATGTTGAGATAAAAGATGATAAAGGGATTGATGCTGAAGTGCTAATCCGAATCCGATAAACTTAAAATGATGTTTCTTAAAGCACTGAGCCATAAGTTAGTGATAGACTGTCGATGTCTACAAATCATACCGTAGTGGAATCAAGCACTGTTACTCAGCTCAGTGAGATTCTCTATCTAAGAACTGCACAACTAGCACTGCCATATTGTTGTTAACATGATATTATTAGAAGTGTTGGGGAGAAGTTCCACTTCAATGGCAGCCAACAGCAGTAGTGGACGAAGGTCACACAAAGCGGCGCTGATGGACTTATGTGCTGTTCCTGCACAACCCTAATCTCACTGACCCCTTCACTCATTCAGCTGCACTTGCGCTCTCGCGAGATATTCCACCAAAAATGACATACCACTATCACACATAGGTACACACACATATATACATAGATGAGCCGACAAAAAATGGTGCTGCTAGCGAAAACACACACACTACTGCAGTGGTCAACAGCGACTGTGAGCGGAGCGAAGGGACGTTCTTATTCTCGACTGAGAGTCAAGCAAGTCGTAAATTGTTGGTGTGGCGCTGATTGTAGCAAAATGAAATGGAAATGGTGAGGAAGTATATATTAATTGCTCTCGACTCTTTTCTGTTCGAACAAGGAAACAAGAACTTTCTCTGCCAAAACTATTCTCCAAATTACCTCATTTGCAAAACAAGTAAACAATCGCGAGCTCTCAGAACACTTTCTTTAAATTGCGTTTAAAGGATTTAAACTATAGTGGCTGTATAATTATTTTCTACTGTTTTCTAGTACAGTTTTTGGTCTTCATCAGATACAATAAAGTATCGAGTATCACAGAAGTAAAAGCAACAAAGTAATGCTAAAAGTTTGCAAAATCATTTATTCACTTATAAAAAAAAAAACGGGCGATATTTTATTTAATACATCTGCAGCCTTTTTGTGACAACGAACAAAATACAAATAAAAAACTGCTGATTTTCGAGTCATAAAAAAAAAATTAAAATGCCTTCAAAACGGAATGGATCATAAATTTGGTGTAGAAAGTGAAATGCTCCATACATTTCCTTCCTCTTCTTCGACCAGTCCTTCTCGCACACCAATGGATTTCATCGACAAAACTTTTTCCATCTTTAATATCATCACAGCAGCGCCATCTAAACTGTGAATAGCGCTCAATGGATTTATTTATTCAGAGAATGAAATGGATTAGATACACTGTCTCAAATCAAATTCTGATTCATACTAACCCAAAGTAGTAAATAGTTTTGTCTAATGCAAAATTAGCCATTACAATTCGTAACAAAATATCATTATCCTTCTCTAATTCCAGCAACGAAGCTTTGTTTCACTTTTTTTTTGAAAATATTTTTGAAAATTGAAAAAAAGAGATGGAAATGAAAATCTCATGGAAGTGAGAATCTCTATTTAAAAATGCCATTTGGAAAGTGTAATGTAAGTGC